TGCATCATGCGTCCCCGTGCTTATTTATTTCAAAAAATGGTTCTTGGACGATCCCCATGTGGTGTGGGCTCACGTTATACACGTCGAGTTCGGCTCTCCCGCTGCTGAGGTTTACGCAAAACCTGCTTCCACTCAATGGACAGGTCATAGGCCTTTTGAGTAGAACGGCTCCGTCCCAAGCAAGCAAGCTCATTGGTGCCCTCATGAATTTCAACGGCCTGGAAATCAATCACGTCCCGCATGAGCGGAAGCCTTAAAAGTCCAAGCGGAACCACCTTTCCATGGCAAGCGCTCCTGAACAGACACATCCTGAAAGAAGCCGAGCCCGGCGACCAAGGAGTACATTGTTTACCACAGGTCTGCCGGCAATTTCGAGAGGGCTTCGAACACCAGTGCTTTCAGCTGAGCTGAACCCAGACTTGACGTTCTTTGTGTTGAAGGGTGATGCTGAGTTCCGAAATCGAGTGGCAGGAAGCCTGTGTTCCTGGAATGTGGCGCGGGCAGGTCAGAGTGGCCTCCACTTGGGTGTGATCATGCTCTGATGATGCTGCCGTTCTGAGCAAAAGCAACCACTGCACCCAAACTTCTTTTTCAGGTGCCAATGGCTGTGCTGTGCTTGTTGCGCGCTGACTGGGTCTACTACGACCGTGGCGGGGGTGACTTGGTTGCCAACCCTGGTGGCCGCTTCAGGGGTTGGGCTTCTGAAGCTTTTAGTGAGATGCGTGACATCTGACCTGGCGATGGCAACTTGCTAGGGGGGCCCTGGAGGTGCCAAAGCTTGTGTGGAGGGCCTCCGCTTGCCGATGGACAAGGTGGCCGAGTCAATGGAGCGCGGTGTCGTTGATTTGCAGGATTGGGGTTGGATAAGACCGGGAGTCAGTGTACTGCTCGGTGCTGCAAGACTGGCGCGGCATCCATGTTTGGGCGCATTCGAAGCGTCGTCTCTGAGGGCGCGCCATCCTCATGTGTATCCACGAAGTCCATTTGTTGGCGGCCGCCTTATCTCGCCAGCTCTGCCAAAAAGGCCGCCGCAAGGTGGAGAATGTTTTTTGTTTTGGCTTGTCCCACAACAACTGCTGGAGCTGCTTCAGCAGCTATTCATCAGAATCATCGGCATCTGGGTCCCCGCGCTCATCGTCGGCACCCTCGTGTGCCAGCCAGAGAGCAGCACCGCCAAACCATCCATAAGCTTCTCGGTACGTTTTCGGCGGGTCATTTTCGCCGCCAGTCCTCCACTGCCGCCGCTGAAAGGATCACGCGGACGCCAGCATCTGCAGCAAGAAGTTCGCCATCCAAAAATCCATGCAAAGCGGCCAGGCAACTCAAACCAGCGAGGAAGAAGACCTCTACGATCGTCACTGTCCAAGAGGCACGGCAGCCATGTCCCTGATCGAAATCGCCATCGAGCACGTTGACTCGATCTGTACCTGCGCTTGCCGGCAAAGCACGCGCTCCACGCTCGAGGTACTGGCCAACCCACCAGTGGAACATGCAAAGGCAAAGAAAGAGTGAGCCTGGCTCCATGGCCAGCCAAAATCCCAGCACAAACTGCGCAAAGTGTCGGATCAAGGCCCAAGGACGCCACGTCCAAAGCACAGCGGCCACAAGCGTGTGAGCCCCACAAATCAATCGCCCTGCACACAAAGAAAACCTTAAGAAAAGCCAGGATAGCTCCCACAGCCACCCCTGCAAATGAAAAGGAGCGGCCACCAACAAAGAAGCAGAAGACTGTGCCCATGAGAGGGAACAGGGGAAATCGCACAATCTCTTGGTCAATGCCGATGCCTCGTCCAGATGACCTTTTGTACCGGTCGTTGAGCTACAAACCCGGGCCGTGCACACCTGGGGGTAGTCATCAAGTGCGCACTTCAACCCACCTTTCAGAGTCCGCTATCTCTAAATATGCGGCCTGTCCTGCCCACATTTCTGGGCGTTTCCCTGAGCTCCACGGGTTTCTGCTTTTTGAAGCCATGTTGGGTGCATGCTCGATGATGCAAACTAGCTTGAAGACTCGGGTACAGAACGATCATGGCCTGTTTTCTTAAGGCTGCTTTGAAAAATTATTTGAACGGGGTTCGGATGATGCTGATCAAGCCAGTGTTCTGCCCATGCGCCCGGGCGCGGTGGGCTCGTTTGCAATGTTGCAGGCGGTGGGCTTTGTTTAAAAGCATACTGAATAAGGTTCCCACAGTACTGAGGGCCCTGGGAGGCCCTGGGGATTACTTTCAAGGAGTTGGTCTGGACTCGGTTAAGGAGTGAGTGAGTGAGTGAGTGCCCGAGGTGGCATGTGCAGAAGCCATGCTTAAGGCGCCGATCCCTCCCGGCTTCTCAGGAAGCTCCGCAAGCGTCATTGCATCCTCCACTTGCAGTTCACGCTGGCTAACGCCCCAACCCCAGAAACAACGCTCCGAGGTCGGCAAAAGGCCCAGTTAGGCAAGAGGGTATGCAAGCCATTTCGCGCAAAGCCTCAACTAGGCAGGCCCGCCACCGGAAAGCTGGCATAAGGGCAAGACAGCGTGCCATCCTCGCAGAAACCGGGCCGAAAAGACGCTTCCCCAGAAGGTCGCCCTTCAAGGTACCAGGCCAAGCAAGCAACATCACCTCTGCGTCGGTCAATGCGCAGCCACGTGCTAAAGAAGCAGGCATGCTTCTCCACAGATCCCTCCTCAGATACTAAGTGCACCCGCTAACCCCCGCGAGCTCACTCATTCACCACCGTTTTCCTGTGAAAAGAAGAATGGTAGCGACTCGGTCAAGGAACTTAAAGAGAGTCCTGGCACAATAGGCCAAAACTATGTAAGCGGCGGCCGAAACACATTCAAGAAAGTCTCTTGGCAAAAATGAGTGCAACATTAGCATGCTTTCTTGCTCTAACTGTCTATTCATGTCATCCCTGTGACTACATGAGCCAATTATTCTACGAAATGCAGTCCTGGAGGCCAAGACGTCAAGGCGCACCGGGAAGCCCAGATTTGCCTGCACAGCAAGAAGTTGTAAGAGAAGTTGGGCCTGCTGTTGGCATTACGGTCCGTACTCCTACTGTTAACAAAGACATTCTAGAGCGACTTCAAAGGTACAATTGCTCAGCTGACTATTAAGCCTACTAAGAATCCATACTATCACTCAAAGACTGTCGACATTACCATGCTGACATTTGATTGACACCTTCTCACGGCTTCTGGCTGCCTTGCACAAGATGCTGGTCACTGCAAAGTCAGCGAGCCTGGCACTCTGCTCAAAGAAGAGCGCAACAGGCCACCTATTCCATCTTGTCAGCGGCCGCTTCAACTTGCCAGCAAGGCTTCGCACTTTCATGACCGCACCTGAACAGCAGGCGCGGGATCTCGGATCTTCCGTGCTGCGGTAAGACTTATCAGCATGCCTTTGAATCAATCTCGCCATCTTTTTGGCAGACCTGCTTGACCACGGAGCACGCTACAGGGCTTCCTTGTGAGATCCGCTGCCTCTTCAGGTCTTCCTCAGAAGCACAGCCTGCATTTGCAGACCTGGGCAATGTTCTACTGCAGCATTCAAAGCGGGGCTTGGTCGCAAGAGAAACTGACATTCAACTGGAACCCGTCGGAAGACCGAATAAGAATGCGGGACCCGACTCACAGCACCAAGAGATGCCACAGCCACCAGAAAAGACGTAGAGCAAATCATGCAGGTACATGCAGGTACCAAAGCGAGGCAGTGTCACAAGGATTTGCAAAGCCATCCGTCCGTACAACCACTGATGGGGCGTCCCGCAATAGTAGAAGCATTGGTAGGTCATTTGCAGACAACCAATCATGCCCTGCGAGCATGTCGTTTCCAGAAGAGGCTGTCCGAGGTCCAGGCAGGGCGATCGCGCCACTTGCGCGAATCAGAGCCGTGACGCATGGATTGAAAAGTCGTACCTTGCTGCTGTACACGAGAGTGACTCTCTCTTATTCCCTGGTCCAAAGCGAATTCACAAGTAAAGTAAATTTGATACTAGTCATGAGGAGTTAGTCAGCTCGTGTCCTGCCCTGAGCGGGGCACGGTGATACTGCTGTGTTTCCGCGGATTGTACTCCGCGTGCCGGATCCCAAAAGCGATCTGCGCTACGAGCACGTACAGCATCACTTTGGGCAGTTCCCACAGTTACGAAGCTAAACACTCGTCCATCAACAGGTATTACGACTGCCGGGCTTCTAATCCACAACGCCGTGCCATCTGTTTGAGGCGATAAGCCTTGCTGGATCACACCGCGCCTGCTTCAAATCCAGCTCACAGCGCGTGTTGAACCTCGGGTCACAAGATTGATTCAGTGCGTCGTGCACAGCAATCAAACCATGAGCATGCTGCTGAGCGGTTCGCTTGCAGACATAGATGAAAGGCACCGGGAAAACATCAGGCCTGACAACCGGCGCTCCAGGGAGGGATCAAAGCAGATGTGCAGGGCGCATCCCTGAGGCTGGTGCCATGGAGAATCATGTCTTTGCATGTAACCGTGCTACAATTCTACAAAACCTACAAAACCCACAGCAATCTTCGTTTCCTGCGAGGTTGCCAGCCACCGTACATGAGGTTGGCTTGGCTGTCAGGGACTATGTCTGAGACCCCGCACGGCAATTGCTGATGCGGCTCTGGAAGATCATGCCTGTCTGCCATGGCCCAAACTCCAAGTTTTGAAAGGCACCATATACAGAGATGTGGATACTTGAGTAGATTGGGGCATGCTGCAAGGCAGCACAGGATCACTGAGCAAGTGGCGGAACGGCCAGCTCTTGCTGCTGCTCCTTCACAATGCTGAGAAACCTATGATGCCTAAGGTGCACAACCGCACAGTAGTCAGTGCATTACATGCAGGTTATTGTGCAACCTCCAATTCAGACTCTCAACTTCAACCTGATGCGCGCGTGTCTCAAAAAATCCCCTATGTAGGAAAGTGCGTCAAACTGTCAAACCCTTACGAACCTAACCTTTGAGACACACCCGTACACGTTCTGCAGGCTCTTTTCCAACGCTACTCATTCCGTGGCTTGCGAGGCTTCTCGAAGTTCTTTGCGCAAAGCCTGGCGTTTAGCCAAAAACAGGTCAGAAGCAACCCCCCAGTCCCAGCCTTGGGAAATCGTCTCCTCCGCGCCCGATCAAGGTACCTTGCATGGCTGAACTCAAAGGCTCAAGATTATTCAAGGCTCCTAGGTACCCCAGTTCTATCCGAGTCGCGGGTCCACAATTCCAGCCTCTAAGCAGGCTTCATTCAACCTTGGCTGCCCCGACGGTCAGCTGAGCATAGTGTTAGGCTTCACCTGCCCCCACCCTGGACGAGGGACCGCTTCAACTCTGGAATGGAAAAGTTGGCCAGACGGCGCAAGGATTCGCGAAGGATCCGGTGCACCTGGGCGACGTGTACAGCTCTTTTACAGATGGCCAGGGTCTACACCATGCACAGTTATAAGTTATAACCACAGTTCCAGAAACCTCTGTACGTGGTTTCGGCAGAAGGTCAACAGAAATCAGGTGACAGCAGCAATCTCATGTGGATTGTGCGCGTCCTGGGCACACACCAACTTTAG